TGTATGTATGTATGTATGTATGTATGTATGTATGTATGTATGTATGTATGTATGTATGTATGTATGCACGCATGTATGCATTTATGCATGACGAACCGACCGAAAAGTCGAGTCAGACTAACTAATGTAGTGAGTCTTCAAAACCCAGCTCTTCTGACGAAGGAATGCTGGCCTGCCTTTCGGTTTGCTTGAAAAAGTAGATTTAAAACAGCGATGGAGGACTGCCTTAGACTCGTGGCTGTTGAATTGTCCGAATAACACCGTCCTATAACCCTGATTTATCCGTGATGACATTTCGTTCGTCATGTGATATACCTCGTTAGAGCCAGGAATCATAATTTACGAAAATTAACTTAAAACCCTCTCTTGGTTTGATGTTTTGGGTGATTTTTTTCGTAAATCATGCTTTCTGGCTCTGACAATGCATGTCACATGACGGAGTAAAGCTCAGCACGAATGGATCGGGTCCGCAGGACTGTGAACCGAGGTCTTTTAGGCACACTCCAGCAGTCACAAGTCCAAGGCAATCTTCTTTCAGTGTCTGGTGAGACAAATCCCTTTCAGCTCAATTTTCATGTGAAAGGAACGGCACCAAAGCCCCAATTTTTTCAGGGACTCCTCGAAATCCAGCTTCTCTTCATCGTCTAACGAAGGGCCAGTCGAAAGTGGTATGCATCCGGCAACAAATACACAAGAATATATATATACACACACACACATCCACTCGGTCACCACTTCATGCCCCTCTAGAGCAGTATTTTAGAGGAAATTTGTGCAAGTGGTGGGAGGCCGGTTGGCATTTTTTGCTGCGTGTCGCCAAGCCGGCCGTTATCAATGCTGGTTCGTCCTAAGGGCGGCAAGAGCCTGTGGGCGGAGTCTCAAATTGACTTTTCTCCATTCCTCACCATCCCCATAGTTTCAGCAACAAGTGACTTTGCCTCCAAAGCCTGTTCTTTGGTAATCCTAGATCAAAAAAGCACATCGTGTTTGTCAGACGACCGCTACCCAGCCTCTCAGGCTAGCCGACTTGTATCTCGCTGCGATGTGCATGGCGGAGTTTTATGCCTAGACCTGACCGTTGATGTTTATCCGTCGGCCTGACAACCTGTCTCCTACCTGAGGATACACTGGAAGTGTGCGAGCCCCCGGTCAACAATCGATAACCTCAACCGTATTGATCCAACCTGAGGCTGGATTCCATT